AACACTGGACATTTATTTAGAGACTTTAGAGCCCATACATTATAGAATAATTTTAATTTATCACATCCAAATATAATAGGCAAATATATAATACAATAAATTGCATTTGTACACATAAATACAAAATTTGAGGTAGGGCCTCAAGAATAATGATTTTTAAAATAAATAACATACAGCATTGTAATATGCACTACATGAGATATATATGATGCATCCTTTGTAACATAATATATTTTCTCCACATATAGCTAATGAAAAATTATAATGACCTGGTTAGGGTACAAATCTTTATCCATAGGCAGCAGTACCCCATAGAATGCCTGTAAATATATATATATATATTTATATATGACATTACGCAAGTAATTAAGATTTAACCCATCAGCGATGGGTCCGTAATAAAGTGCCATAGGACACAGGGCGCAAATTCTCAGCTGGTGTAAATTGTCCCACCTCCAAACAAAGCTGTGACAATTTATACCAGCTAAGCATCTACCTTACAAGGTAATACTACAGAATATAAATGACAGATAACAACACGTTTTAGTCGATCTCTAATTTTCCTAACAATGGAAGATAGCTGTAAGGCAAATGGTTACCTGAAGATGTATTTAAACACTATGGGCAAATAATAATATTGCAAGCAATAAGGTCCAGCCCGGTTCTCACTTTGTGTTAAACCCACCAGGAAAACCTTCTCTCTTTGGCGACAGTCTGCCTGACGGTGACAAGGGCAGAAACCCCAAATACCCCTGCCCTCCCGCCTCGAGTCATTAACCTGAGTCCCTCGGGAGTATCAAGCTCTGACCATTTTACAGATATCTTCTGTGCACACCATGTAATGACAAACTAAGGAACAAGCGTCTCTTACAACAGCGTTACTAGCAAAACAGAGAAGCTTTCTGGGATGCCGCTTGCCGAAGCTCTTCAGCCTGCAACCCACAATCCCTACAAGTCTCTCGGACAGCAAGTAGAAGTGGAGCTGCAGAATAAGAAACCAATAGGAAACCAACGTCTGCCATAAATAAGCATTGGCTTTAACACAGGCAACAAGAAATCATACTATCCATCCAACGGGACATATATTCCAAAAGTTGAAATGTATTTAAAATAAATCAGGCGCTGGAATTTCATGGTAAGAGATAGCCACACAGTGTATCAGAAGCAATGATCTTCAGTGCTGAGGCACATCTAATGCGGTCAGTGGAGCAGAACCTAATCAAAAGACTACTTTGACCTAATTGAAACATCATATTAAGACAATCCAAGTCTTTCTCAATTAAAGGTCATTTTGTTAAACCCTTCTTTTGGAAACAAAGTGCTGCCATGTCTAGCTGAAACACAGGTTTTGAACATTGCATATTAAGAACACTAGGAAGACCCCAAAGAATTGGAAGATGGCAAGCATCTGCACTAGGTATAATTTTTAATGCATACAATAATGCAACTCAGCTCATACTGAAATTCAATTTCATTCCAAAGAAAAAATATGCAACAAAAATAATTTCACCAAATTTGGACATTTTTTACTCACAAGATAGATAGATCTGCAAGTACCTACATCACATTTCTACTAATATGGCTTTTTCCCCTCCTTTTGTTTTTTTTAAAGATCTTTACTGGTATTTAATCAGTTACTAAATTTATTTTTAGAAAATTATCAAAGTACATGCAAACTTTTCCTAGAACATGGTAAATGAAGTGCATTCCCAAACTTTCAAGGTTACTTCTCATTTAAAGAAGACACTGCTGGTTAATTTAATCTCAACATCCAGATTTGGCCAGTAAAATACTTTAAAAAAAGTCTGATGTCAAAAAACAATCTGCTTTTAACATACAGTGTAAACTTCATCTCTTCTGTGATTTTTGTGCGCTTTTCTCCCCCCTCTCCAAATGTTTTTGCAAGCCTAGTAATGGAGGTCAAAGCTGAAGACAAATCTCAGATAGAACACAATCACCTGTTTTCAGAGTTTCAAAGTCAAGCATAATCCTGTGCTAATGACTTAGCAGGCACAGGAACAACATCTAAATTAAAAGCAAGCAGATTAATTACATAAATCATGGAGACCAGTTCAATTTTTCATATGCATTTTGGTTCAGTAATCCAAGCCAAAGAAAAGATATCATAAACTAGCAGTATTCCTTCAAGTTATATCTCTTTTATAGTTAAGGTAGACAGTAACTGACATCCTTACACCGAGGTAATTTTATTGCAATTAGTGAATCCCAGTTGCAATGCATGTCCTGAGACAAGGTGGTAAGTGAAAGGATTCAGAACTGTTTAAGCTATTTGAGTGTGTTTTCTTTTTTAAAAGAGGAACAAATCTATGGTGTTTTGTTTTGTTTTTTAATCACAGTAGTAGTGAAGAGAAACTGGCCTGGACTCCAAAAATCAAACCAGGCTGCTAGGAAATTCTGGTAGAGAGAGGCCTAAAGCTATTTATCCTGACAGAACTACCAAATTGGCACTTGAGGTGCCGACTTAGGTTCCTTTCTTCACCCAGCGAAGGCCCCTCAGCCCCACATAGGCGTGGGGGCCAAATTTCCAGCTCATCTTTCTAGACCTTCATTACATCAAAGAGAGCGTGGCTTCTCAAACCTGCCTCTGCCAGGAAAATAAAAGCCAGAAGTAAGACCAGCAAGCCCCATATTAAAATAGCAGGTGAAGCTGAAACAAGGGGCCCCAGCCTTAAGGCAGAGAAGCTCCCAGAAGGGTCCCGTCTTGCTGCCGTGCGAGAACAGGGACCGACAGAGCCCGTGGCGTGGAGAGTCAGGGGCCAGCACAAAATGTTGCAAATTCTGCCCTCGCTTCGCTCAGGGACGATGGTGCTTTTCTTGTCCGGCATGCGGATTAAAGGTCTCCAGCAGTGCCTAGAACTGGCAACACTAATTGCCCCGTGAAAGAGGAAGTTCAGCAAAATGATTAATATATTTAATATACATATATATATACACACACACAGAGACAGAGAAAATAAGGTAACAATTTGTGGAAGTGTTACGATAAGGTTTAGTTTTTGTTTTCTGTTCTCCAACGGGATGAAACGACACGTCTACTGATCTACGGATAGACATTAACTGAAGATTTACCTGAGACCCTGTAACATGAAGACAGACAGACAAAAGAATGGGATAGAAACAGTCCCCTGCAAGGAAAGAACAGTTACTGGCTACTACAGTAGTCTGTGTGGGGAGGGAAAAAAACAGCTAAACTACTCTAAGCTCACCATCTCTACATTGATTGATAAGATATTTATAGGGACATAAAACATCACTAGTACACGCTACATGAACACTGATCACTGTTAAAAAATATCATATATGTATGTATAAGATATAACAAGATAGTAAAGGTTACAGTTTCGCCAATTATTGAAGATATATTTTTCTCCCTCATTCTAGTGCATTTACAATAAATCGGGCTAATTTTCTATTCAGGTAAATAAATGTACTCTTAAAAAGCTCTATTTTTACTCTGCCCAATAGGTAACAAAACTATTTAAGTCTAGCAATCATATCGCCACTTATATCTGATTTCTAAAATGTAATGATTTAGAATGTCCTATTGATATGCAACGTTATAAGGGCCATCTACTAAACTGTCCTCTCCCCCCAACCCTTGCATTTTGTGTATCTAATGTTGCATCTGTGTGGATGACTGCAGTGGTCAATTGTTGTGGGTTTTGAGGGTTTCTATTTAATGAAAATATTTTCAATGAAAAAAAAAATCACTTCTATGTATATTTCAGAGAGAGTACTGCTTCGAAGAAATTACGTGCTATACATAATATATAGAGAAGTGGGGTTCTGCTATTTCCCCACTGGTTGAAAGAGAAGAATATATCATCTACAGGTTGAAAATGTTTATAGGAGGATGAATGGGGAGTCACAAAGTTGAACAGCACATCTAACTTCTAATAACTGTTGTCAGGTGGTAATTAGACTACACTTACCACTGTAAGAATACAAAGTTAGGCACAAATTATATGATGGCTTCTTGAGGAGATACTGTAAACAAAAGCTGAGAAACAAAGAAAACTATGTTCAGAGTACTGGAGTGAAGTGAGTAAAACCATAGCTGCACCTGGTGTGGAGCAAGGTTTCAGACACTTCCTAAAACTGAGGCATTTTTAAATGAAATTACAGATATCAAATTATCAAAGAGAAACATATGACAGTACTTTAAACAGTGATGCCCATACACCTCAGCCTGGCACCCTTTCCAAACCCCTTCTAGACTCAAAAGCAGTTTAATCGCAATTTCAAATGATTAGTTCTTTCCATTTTGCTTTCATTTTTCTACTTGAAAAGATCAAATGGATTATTGTGTTTCTGTTCTCATCCCACATACTGCTTCCCGGCGTGCCACAGAATCACAGAATCACAGTGCCGTTTAAAGGGTCTCCGCTTGCTTAAATAACAAGCCCTCAAAGTCAGCATAAATCATGAAAGAAGTGTGCAGACGCAATGGGTCAAGGTCTGCTGTCAGTATAGAAAAAGCAACCCCGCTTACTGCGAGAGCCTGATGCTGGATTTATACCAGGACCGCACGAGATCCATTTCTTTGCTCACTTCCATCCCATCTGAGCACTGAACTTCCCTTTGATTATGCTGGTAACAAAATCCTAGCCCCATCATGGCTACCTGTTACAAGGATGCTTGTCTGAAATGGGTCAAATTCTGCACGTAATTTCCTTAAAAGCTTTTTCTGTTGCGTTTTATTTATTCCTACATCACCTGACAAAGCCTGGTACATCACCTGCTGCACAACATGCTTTCACTGTTTCGCCAGGTACCGAACAGATCATGGGCATCACCTGCTCCTGGAAGCGGTCTAGCTAGGTCTTCCCTATGCATGCAACAGTAAGTCCTACTTCCCTAAGCAACCACTTTCAGGCACTGGGGAAAAGAAAAGGAGAAACGGTGGGGGAAAAAATGGGAGGGGGAAAAAAAAAAATCAGAAAAGGCTGACAATGTTATTGCCGCCTACACAGTATTTATTAGCATTGGGTCCCCAGTTCTATATCCTTCACTGGCAGTTTAAGTCCCAGGGAAGAGGTTCCCAGTGGATCAATCATATTCATGTAACGTTCACCGCGGTGCTTGGCCAAAAACGGACCCCAGTCAGGCTGTGGAGAGCATACCAACTTGAGTCGCTGCAATGTGGGGGAGAGAAAAGAGAGTCTCATTTGAAGTTACGAAGCTGAATTACAATGCAGAAGAAATGAGGATAGGCTCATTGAAGATTATTGATGATGGCCCTGCAATGCTCCACTGCTCGGTGTTTGTTTTGCACAAAGTTTGCAAGATTAATAGAGGATAAAGTGCCCAGATTTTAATTATACATTCTCCCCTGCACCGTATGAGGGGAGCTCAGAACCACTGCTACAGATTGCGAAGCTCACTTTCTGAAGGACATGTGCACAATTATTTAGCCCAATGGTCTAAGCAGTGGGTAACTGCATTAGAATAATTGGATTTCTATTTAGCATATTTCCCAAAAGTATACAAATGACCATAAAGAAATATATTGCTATGAATGAACAAAGATTTTAATTTTGAGATGACAAAATGTTTCCTTTCTATCTGCAGGAAAAAAGAAAGAGAAGAACATTAACCTAGCAAACAACCAAAATCTTCTAATCTTTCTGCCTATTTCTTTATTGAATACATAATTTGATTGGTGCATTTACAGATAAAAAGGAAAGAAAACATATTTCTGATGACTTAAGAGGGAACAATTATATGTTTATTACCTAATAAAGTGAATCAGACCTCTATATCCGTTATTTTAATCTCTGCTTAATTACCAGCTTGAAACTCTTGCCTCCCAAATCAACCATAATAATTTTATGCAGCAGACTTGGTATTCAGCAAATACCAGGCTACGGCTGAAATACCTTCAGCAAAAGCCCCTTCAAAACAGATCCAACTTTTTGGTGTTTCTTTGGGTGCACTACTAGAGGGACAGTAAGGAGAGGACCCTATTTTTGCAGCAATATACACGTAGTACACATATCAGTTAGAAGATTTGAAGCAGAACAATTTGTCTCCGTGAGAGAAACTTAGAAACAAGTAAATCTAATTCCACATTAGCTCATTTCCAGTAGGAGCAGTTGCCTCTTGACCTACTCACTCCAACGTGCGCTACGCGTTGAGGGCTGAAGGGTCCTTTAGACAAGTGGCCTCGTTGCCCAGTGCCAACCGTGTACTTGGATGCTCTCCCTAGGGTGTCCCACCACTTCATACTAAACTCCTCTGCTCTATGTGAAGCAGAAAGGCATGGTCTTTTCCCTTAGGCATGCGTAGTGTGGCGTATTGAGAGACCAAAAAGATTATTCTCTTTTAGTACTTTTTCTCTCCTTTGGTTTTTTTGAGGCATATAACAGCCCCGATGGGTTTTGCGGGAGAGCCGAACTGCAAAAGCGGCTTTGCAAAGGGGAGGCGAGCGCCTGTTCCTCATCCCGAGGAGGGAGCAGCACAAGCAGCATGCAGCGACGAGAGGGCACAACTGAGCAAGCCTCAAAGGCCAAAAGTAAGATCATAGAACTTCTTCAGCAGACAAGGCGAAGGCAATGAAGGGATGAAATGCCGACATGAGAAAGACATCGCTGTACCGCACTCTGCACAGAACGGAGGAGCTAGCGGGATGGGAACAGCCAGGGAGCGGCGGTGGTGGCAGCCGGGGTGGCAGGCGGGGCTGGGACACAGAGAAGGGGAGCAGAAGGGGAGTGCCACGTTCCTGAAGTGGTGGGGGGAAGCGGCAGGAATCTGATTTGCAAAATGAACAAAAGCAGCATAAAAGCAAAGTGCCAGCAGGCATTTTTTTAAGCCCAGGTGTCAGAAAGGATCAGCTTATTCAAGAAAAATAAAGAGAAGAAGCAGGGGAGAAGAAAAAAAAGATTGCCAGCTAAGTTTTATGACGAGTAGTTTGAGCTGTAGAGCATGAGGTGTTTCTCATATGTCTTATTCCTGGACTCCATCAAGTGGCACAACCTCCTGGAGCGCATCCCAGATGACCCAGGTACCCGAGCGCCCCGCGCTCTGCCAACGGGTGACTCCTGATTGACGTCTCCTAGCACTGACCGCGGGGCTCGCTGCAACATGACGCGCACCAGCGCCTGATGCGTCCTACATCTACACGCTGCCTTTGCAAAAAGGCCAACAAAGCTAGGAGGGCAACTTTCTCTCAGTAACACGGTACCGGGGCTTATGAAATTTCTAGCTCCTCCTAGTTCTCATAAAAGCAATCACTGAACAATTTTGGAGCTTTTTTTTTTTTTGAGGAACAGGGAACAGAACGTCCGCATTGAAGTCAACAGAGCACCTCTCTGCAACACAATAACTAACAGTAAGGAATCTTAGCACTATTAGACATTCAATATCACAAAAATCAATGTAAAATAAAACAGGAAACCTCCTGTGACCATATTTTTAAGCAGCAAAAAAGACAGAAGAATTACCTCGATAAATTTGCCTGGGGCTAGATGCATTTTTATCACAAACATAACTGGGATCCAGATAACTGAGCAGGCCAGCATCAGCCATCCAAGCACCATGGACCAGCCTGGATAGTGGTAAGCTCCATAAGTCATCGGTTCCCATTGGTAAAAACTGAAGCAAAGAATAAACTGGAAACAAGGAAGGAAAACAATATGTTTGAATAAGCCAAACAAGCCTGCTGTGCAACAAATGGTAGGTATCCACACACAGAGTTGGTGCATATGGAACACAGATAAAAGTACGTACACCTAAGGCAGGGCGCTTCCACAAGCTGTAAATAAACAGGTCAGAGTCTGAATCTAATGAGTTTCATGGAAAGCTTTCAAAATCCCACAAAAATCACTGTATTTGTGCCAGAAGAACTGAAATTAGAATCTTGCCCCGAGAGTAACATGCTTTATTACATGGTCTATTGGCAGTTTTACCTAATGTGATTATGCTAAGTTACTCCATTTCGCTTACTGTATGAATAGCAATACATCTGCTTACATTTGTGCATAATTCAGTAACTTTTGGGAAATGCCTGTGCTTGCAATAATTGCACACAGAAGATTTATAGCTGCATAACTAGGTGAAGGCACGTATAAAAATGATCAGTTTTATTTCCAGACATGTAGAGTAATTGAAAGTCTAATATTAGACTATCCAAATGTATCAAATATTAGCTTTACAGAGGCAATAATAGAAAAGAACGTATTGCTTGGTTTTGCATTGCCCGTTTCCCGTTGCGTAAAAATTGAATTACAACTGCTCAGTGTCAATCTGTTTCTCACCGTAAATTCACTAACTATTACGTTTGGAGGGAACAACAACAGAACATGCAAGTTTGAACTGACCTCGTTCGCTTTCCAAATTTGCTTTCCTTAAAAGACAACATAATTTCCTATTGCCTAGTTGTGATTACTGGCAGCAGCTAAGAGTGCAAGTCTGATCAGTAAAAGAACCGAGAAATTTGCAGAGAAGCCTTACAATTCCCTTCAGAAGTGTAACAAGGGGTCCCAGGCAGCATCTTGAAAACAGCCATTGGAAGAAAAGAAGACATAAGAAACCATGTGCACGTGCCCTCATTTTTAGCAAAGCCCTCAAGAGAAAAAAAAATATATTACCGTTTATGTTATCCTAATACTACCGATTAAACTGGGCTATGTCTTCATACTTTTAAAAATGGATTTACAACTACACCTATATATTGTCACAATCAAAGCACAGCTGCCGCTGCACAGGTAAGACAGATCTACCTGGGTTTTGCTGAAGTACAGTATTGCTGTGCGCAAATACAATCAGCAAAGGAGATCTACGTGGAAAGGCAGAGTATCTTCACCATGCCCCTTAGGGAAATTGTTCTCATTGTAGAAAGTTTCTTTTCCTCATGACTCGGGGTTTTGCTGAGCTCACCAAAACTCATGAGTCTCTTCACACTTGCATTCCTGTCTGCAAAAGCTAAACCTTTTGAGTTTAAAAAAAAAACCAAAAAACAACCACCTCATTCCTGAATTAACAATATAGAAAAGAAGTTATTGTCTCTAGCCAGAGCCTTTTTTTCTCCCCCAGAAATAAAAATATTTACCAACATTTACACTGCCCCAAAGAACATCACAAATAGGGACTTCCCAGCGTGGAAGCCAAAATAGAACTTCTCTGGCAGGAGTGACTGCGAGGGACGACAGAGTCACCATGCTGCTGCTTCGCCCCACCCAGCTGACACCATCCTCACTGTTTCAGAACGCGTGTCTTTTCAGAAATTCGAGTAACTTTTCGTATCTTGTACCTAGAAATGTATAGATACTTCTGGGAACTATTTAGCACTGCTGGGAAATGACGAGTTTTTAAAATTCCGTGCAGATCGTGACAATCTTGCTCTACCTGTGGCCCAGGCCTGAGGAATTTCAGGCCAAAGAATGTGCTCTCAGATGTAAAACACCGGTGGGAAAAGGCTCGGTGGTTTTGTGCTGGCTTATCCAGCTGAAGGCTGTCGAAGTGGCTGAAAGAACGATCTCATTCTCGTGCCAAAACATGACAAGCAATTAAAAAGGGTATCTGTGCTTGGCTTAAAATGTAAATGAAACGTTGTGTTGGGGGGCCGGATGGCAAACGCAGGTGTAGTTATGGCGTGTTGACTCCTGGACTTGACAAAAAACGCGTAGCGATGGTAAAACCGAGGACACGCCACCTTTTAGATTACACAGGGATCTAAATTTGAAGTAAAGCGTCACTTCAGGTCTTGGGGTGGAAATAAAAAATTAAGTTAAAAAGAGAAATAACCGAAAAAAACCCCAAAATTCAAAGCAGCCCTTCCTGCAGGTGTCCAGCCCCGCTGCCCACGCGCGGCTGGGGCGGGGCG